GGGTTCACTGGTTTAGGGGTTTAGGGGTTTACGGGTGTAGGATGTAGGGTGTAGGGTTTTGAACCCCGAAGCAGTTTGATAGCAAATCACAGCATCGCACAAATAGTCAGTGTTATATGACAACATACTAGGAATGACAGCAATAACAATAGTAATATCCATAGTAGTAACAGTAGTGGTATAGTCCCCCTTAAGTAGATAGAGTATGGGGTATACGCGGATCTGATTAAAAATATAATATACCCAAAGTCATATTCTATCTACTTCAGGGGGACTATAGCAGTAGAAAATAACAACAGAAGCAATCCGCAAGGTTGGCGACCGCCTCTGGCAGAGCTGGCGCATGGCCTCAGAGACTAGTGGGAAGTCGTGGTCACGGGCGATACAAGGGTTGTATGGCAATATGTAGGGTTATATGGGGCTATATAGGGGTCATATATTGGTTTATTTAGGTGTATGTATTGTATGTATATAGAGTTATATGAGCTATAGTCTAATCCCCCTTAGTAACCCCTAAAGTAGTTCCATATATAGTCCCCCATATAGCCCCCATTGAGGAGTTTAGACTGTAGCTCATATAGGGTATTTCATGGACTATATAGGGATATGATGCATAAGTGTGTGTATGCATATGTATAGTTTCTCGGGTTTTATGGAAGGATGTCCTGACATGTTGTGTCTGGTCCAAAAAGAGCAAAAATGGTAGAGATAATGGCAATAATCGTAGAAATAAGAGTAATAATACTGTAGTAGAAAGAAGAGCAATAGTAGTAGTATAAATAATGACATGATAGTAGGAAGACTTGTAACACCAGTATAGTAGTAATAGTATTGTTAGAAATAGTACATGTTCTCTGTGGTTGTTGCTGGGCTCGCAGCGCCAAGAGACCCTTGATGGCTTTCAGAGGGCAACGATGGCACAGGTTCACGACCTGGCGTGCAACAGCGCAACGTGGTGCCACGCACTTCCCAACCTCCGCCAAATCCTGGCGGTTAGTACGGAATAGGGGAATACAGTATATGGGGAGTATATAGGGATTACATTCCCAATCTTCGCGACTTCACCGCGGGTGAGCCAGGCGCAGGATAGTCACAGCGACGGCATCCCTGGCATTGCTACTGGTGATGTAAAGGCCTATGGGAAGGCACTTCAAACTCATGCGAAGCGAAGCGCTTGGGGCTTGGCTTTGGACCTGCTCCAGCAGCTGGCAACTGACTCCATAGTAGCTAATGTGGTGATCTACAACACGGGGATCAGCGCGTGTGGGAGAGGGCGTCGGTGGACCAGTGCCACCAGATTCCTGGAGCACATGATCAAGATGGAAGTCCTACCAGACCTTATCAGCTTGAACAGTTGTTTAACCGCGTGCGATGGCCCGCAGTGGAGGCAGGCGCTTCCTTTGTTCAATGGTATGGTCACGGGCCAACTGCAGCTTCCGCGAGATCCGATTTCTTACAGCGGAGTCCTGCGTGCCTGTGCCCACAGCCAGTACTGGGTGAAGGCTGTAGTTCTGCTGCGCGAGATGTGCGAAGATTCCATTCTTCCAGATGTGATTTGCTATGGCAGTGCCCTGAGCGCAGCAGAGAGGGCCGGGCAATGGCCATTTGCCCTGGCCCTACTCGAAGGAATGAAGCGGGCAGATGTTAACGTGATCTGCTTCAATGCGGCCATCAGCTCCTGTGAGAAGGCCGCGGAATGGCCTGCAGCACTGGCATTGCTACTGGGTTGCTGTTAAGGAACTTAAATTAAGTTACTATATTGGGGAAACCCTATTATTTACTATATCTATATATATATACACATACCCATTATGGTAACTTATTTAAGTTCCTTAACAGCAACCCAGGCTACTCTTCATGGAACAATGCATGGTTGAGGCTGATGTTATCAGCTTCAACAGTGCCATGAGCGCTTGTGAGAAAGCCCGTCGCTGGCTGAAAGCTTTTGGCCTCCTCATCGACATGATTCGGCGCGGCCTTGTCCCAGATGTTACTGGGTTGCTGTTAAGGAACTTAGTTTAAGTTACTATATTGGCGAAACCCTATTATCTACTATAGGTATACCCATTACGGTAATTTCATTTCAACAGCAACCCAGGTTATCAGCTTCAGTGGAGTCATCAGTGCCTGTGAGAAGTCAACTGCCTGGTCCCAGGCCCTAAGCTTGCTTGCCTGGATTCCTACTACTCAGCTCCTTGCAGATGTGACTGGGTTGGTGTTAAGGAGCTTAAAGTAAGTTACCATACATGGGTATATATAGTAAATAAAGGGTTTCCCCAATATAGCAACTTAATTAAGTTCCTTAACCCTAAACCCTAAGCCGTATACATGTATATGTATATATATATATAAGTATATAACCCCAATATCGTAATTTAAATTATGTTCCTTAACAGCAACCCAGGTAATTGCCTGCAGCAGCGCAATCAGTGCCTGTGAGAAGGCCAGTCGTTGGCTTGAAGCTATCAAGCTGCTGCCAGTTACTGGGTTAGGGTTTAGGGTTTAGGGTTATTATATTATCCACCCTATATTGGAGAACCAAATAGAAAAGACCATGGAAAACATGAATGGAAACTGGGGGGAATATGGGGATGTAAGGAATTCAGTTTTAATTACTACTGTAGGGAACCTTTTATGTACTATAAATACCCATGCAATGGTACCTCAATTTAAGTTCCTTAACAGCAACCCAGGTTATGTCAGCGGATCAGGTCCGAGCCAATGTGGTCACCTGGAACAGCGCAGTCAGTGCCTGCGAAGGTGCAGGCGGGAGTTGCCCAAAATAGGGCCCAATATAGGGTTTAGGGTTTCGGGTTTAGGGGGTCAAAATAGTATGATAATCCTAATCCTTATCATCCGGGACCCCCAAATGGTAGCCCTAGTTTTGGGAAACCCTATAAACCCTAAGCCCTATATATCCCCTATATAACCCCTATACAATCCCTATAATCCCCCTTTAAAGGTACCCCTAATTTTGAGAAACCCTAATCCCCATAATCCCCTAAATAAACCCAGCTTCCATTTCATTTTCCATTTTCTTTTCCATTTGATTCTCCATTAGAGTAGGTATCCCTGATTTTGGGAACTTCCCATTTGGTGCCTCGGAGGGAAGCGCTTCCAGGCAAACCCCCAGGCAACTGGATCTGGGCTTTATGTCTCCTTGCAGCCATGCAGGAGTCCAAGCTATCACCGGATGCTGGTTTGAATTCAGCTACCAACAGTGTGATATCCAAGAATTAAGTTTAGGGTTTAGGGTTTAGGGGTGATATCCAATAATTAATGGGGTTTCCTTATTCTAGGAACTTGAAGCCTGGGTTGCTGTTAAGGAATCTACTTCAAGTTACCAGAAGATGGCCATACAGTAGCTGACAGGGTTTCCTTGTTATAGTAGCTTAACGTAAGTTCCTCAACCTAAACCTTAAACCCATAACCCTAAACCCTTAACCCTAAGCCTTAAACCCTAAACCCTAAACCCATGCTGAAAACCCTAAACCCTGAACCCTAAACCCTACGCCCGAAACCCTAAACCCTTAACCCAGGATGTCATCACCTACAGCGCAGCCATCAGCGCTTGTGGGACCCGCTGGGAGATGGCCCTAGCCTTGCTCCAAGAATTGAGTTGCAAGCTGTCTCCCAATGTCATCAGCTTCTGGGTTGCTGTTAGGGAACTTAATCGAAGTAACGAAATCAGGGTTTAGGTTTTAGGGTTTTAGGGGATTAGGGTTTAGGGCTTAGGGGCTTAGGGGTTTATGGGTTTAGGGTGTAGGGTTTAGGTTGCGGAACTTCAAGTTAAGTTACCGTAATGGGTATACAGGGCTATAAGGATTATATAGGTACTATAACAAGGAAACCTTATCAGCTATTATATACCCATCTTTATGGTAAAGTGGATTAAGTTCCTGAACCCAAAACCTAAATCCTAAACCCTCAGCCCTCTACCCTAAACCCTCAACCTCAGGCTTCAATGGCGCGATCCACTCATGTGCCGTTGCCTGGCAGTGGCAGCGGGCCGGGGCTCTCCTGAGCCTGTTGGCTGATACTAGGGTATGACTGGGAATCATTTATCATAATTATGGGCTTAGGGTTTCAGGTTTAGGGCTTAGGGCTTAGGGCTTAGGGTTTGGGGTTTAGGGTTTAGGGGCTACAGTCCTTATAGCGCCTTATGTTGTTGGTGCTTAGCAGGGAATAAGGGAATATGTTACATGGGTATCATGTAGGGATGATTCTTCCTTCTTCCCAGCTAACCAGCAGTAACTTATAGAATCCACAAGATTTTTTCTGAACAAGGCCCCCCTAAACCCTAAACCCTTTAACGAGGCGTAAACCCTAAGCCCTAAATCCTAGACCCTAAACCCCAAACCCCTAAACCCTAAATCTATCCCAGGATATGGGGCCCGCGAGGATGCAACCGGATGTGCTCAGCTATCGTGATGCAGCGCCTTTGCGGGCATCTTCTTCTTGCCGGGGGTTAGTAAGGATCATAAGGGAATAGAATAGGGAGAATGGGAAAGCAAATGGCAACTATTATAATGGGATCATATAAGGTTTAGGGTTTATGATTTAAGGAATCAGGGAATAGATTATATAGGGATTATCTGGGGGTTACATCCCCTTATTCCCTACTAAAGCCCAGCAATTCTTGAATGATGTGCATCTTGTGCCTTTTTTTTGTGGAGTCGTTCTTGAGCTGCAACTGCCAGGTATGGGCCTGCGAATGTGTTTGGCAGTGGCTCGCTGCCTTCGATGTGTTGAAGAAGGTTGAGCTCTTATCGGTGCTTGAAAACAGAGGGCATGCTTGCCATCATGTTGCTGGTCCTCAGCAAGGAATCAGGGAATAAAATCCCTAGATCAAATAAGCCCTACATGACATATTCCCTTATTCCCAAAACCCTAAACCCTACATGAGCCATAGTCTCAACTCGTTAACGGGGGGTTATATGGGGGAGTATTGCAGGGCTGAAAAAGGGGGATGCTAGGAGTGTTAGACTATAGCCCCCACCAATCCCCTACATAGCCCTATATATAGCAGTTTCCATTTCATTTTCCATTTTCTTTTCCATTTGATTCTCCATTATTAAGGGGAATATGCGGTATAATCTCCTGGAATTTACCCTAAACCCTAAACCCCTAAGCCCTAAATTCTCAAATTGCCCACCTAAGCCCCAGTAAGAGCTTTACCAGACCTGGGGACTGTGTATTGATGATGGGTTCCCCTAAATAACCTTATTCAAGGAGGGTTTAGGGTTCAGGGTTTAGAGTTTAGGGTTTAGAGTTTAGGGTTTAGGGTCTAGAGTTCAGGGTTTAGGGTTTGGGGGGGAACCTAGGGGGGTGGTATAGAGGGGGTAGTAGGGGAACCAATGAATTGACGGCTCTTGCAAAGGTAGCTTCGCGATAAAGCGCCTGGGTTGCTGTTGAGGAACTTGAATTTAGGGTTTAGGGTTCAGGGTTTAGGGTGTAGCGTTAGGTACTATCATGAGGAACTGCTACTATTTACTATACAGCCATGCTATGGTAACTCAATCTGAGTTCCTTAACAGCAGCGCAGAGTCCACCGTAAGTAGATAGAATCTGGAAGACCCCAAAACCATAAGATGATCTCCGCATTACCCCATATTCTATCTGGGGCTATACCCTAAAATCCTAAATCCTAAACCCTAAACCCTAATCCTCCTATCTACTTCTGGGGGACTCTACCCTAACACTAAGCTTCTAGCCCTGCTTGCGGGGGACGGGTACCCCAAACCCTAGACCCACTGTCTGCTTAAAGAGTACCATACCATAAAGACCCAAACACTCGATCTACCTACGGGGAACTATACCCTTAACCCTAAAACCTCTATCTGCTTGAAAGGGACTATACCCTAAACCCTAAACCTTTTATCTACTTCAAGGGGACTATAGGAACATGCTTTGGTCAGACATCTGCCCACTGACCGGCAACGTGGACTCACAGCCGAAATTGTTCTCGGCCGTTTGAGATCGCCGGGTTTGGGTTTTAGGGTTTACGTACCCGAAACCCAGAACCCTAAACCCTAAACATTTAGAGACTGCGGCGTTGGGGTTTAGGGTTCAGGGTTTAGTCTTATGGTAGAGGGCTGATGGCATAGGTTTATGGTTAAGGGTTTAGGGCTTAGGGTCTAGGGTTTAGGGTTTAGGGTTTACTGTCTTCGCAACATCCTCAAGCTCCGCCAAGCCCAAAAGTGTTGGTAACTCTGGCCTAAGGGGTTTAGGGTCCATT